CAGCACTGTTTGGATCGTTATTTTCTGCGTGTACGTATAATTAGACGTCATACCTTAAATCTTATACTGTCCTCACAGCCGACTAAATGATGAAAAGACCTGTCTTTTCCTTCAGTTTCTTTTTTAATCATTATGGTTGGTTGGTTGTTTCCAGGCTAATTCCAAGTGTTACTAAGAACCTCTCAATTTGTTGCCCCATGCAATATGTTTAACATTGTTTTAGGTAGTATATTTTCAGTCTTGTTAAAAATAATAAGAATATTTACAGTGGCTAACATTTACTGACTACTTACTAGGTGCTGATGCTTTTACATTATTCTCTGATTCTCACAGTAACCCAGCCAAGGCATGTGGTATTATTCCAGTTTTACAAACGAGAAAACTGTTAATTAGAGAGGTTAAATAATTTGTTCAAAGTTCCACAGCTAATGTGAGTGATAGGGCTAATATTTAAACTCAGGGCTTTTTTCCATTTTTGTTCTCTGGTTTTGCTTTGGACTTCACAACTCTGCTTGTTTGCTTGTGCTATATCCTTTCCACTTGGAATGTCTTCTCCCTACTAGGTCTGGTTTCTAGTAGTAGCAAATGTACTCATCATGTAAGCCGCAGACCAAATGTCCCCTTTTCTAAAGCCCCATTTTCTGATAGCCCCATTTGTAAGTAAACTCTGCATCCTTTAAACTCTCACAACACTTTGTACCTTTCTTAATATATTTGTTTTGCCTTGAGTTATAATTATTCCTGTAAATGTCTTAATCTACCAGCTAGAGACTGTCTCTGATTCCTTGCAGCTTAAGACAATTTTGAACATTGAAGATATGCAGTATTTGTTGACTTGATATTAGAGGCAAAAAAGTCATCAAAATAGGAGTAAATGCTACTGATGCATTTTTTAAAAATTGGAAGAATACGGCAATATGATAAAGATTAGTACATATGTGATCATTTTTGCTTCTTGGTATTTGGAAATCTTGTTAAATTTTACTAGTGGTATAACTAGATATGGCATACATTTTCTGGTTTGGTGGAAAAGTTCATATACTTAGCTATCATTTTATATTTTTTAAGAAGATAATAAAGAAAAATCTGAGAGAGTTGGGAAGAACCTGCTGTTTTAATTTTGTTCACAGCAGTGGTTCAGATTATGTTCTTTTGGTGTAAACTTTGATAGTAGGCTCAATATAATGCTGGAATTCAGCAATTGGTTATCTTTGGATATATATCTTTTTTTTTTTTTTTTTTTTGCGGTATGCGGGCCTCTCACTGCTGTGGCCTCTCCCGTTGCGGAACACAGGCTCCGGACGCACAGGCTCAGCGGCCATGGCTCACGGGCCCAGCCACTCCGCCACGCGTGGGATCCTCCTGAACTGGGGCACGAACCCGCGTCCTCTGCATCGGCAGGCGGACTGCCAACCACTGTGCCACCAGGGAAGCCCGGATATATATCTTTTGCATTTAGGGCCATATGTGGAATACCAAACTGTTTGAAATAAGTATACGGTGCATAGTCTTCGTCTCTCTAAATACATTATTTCCATTTATTACTTACTGTAGTATTTCTTTTTTTTTTTTTTCTGCTTTTTTCTTTTTTTTTAATTTATTTACTTATTTTTTTAATTTTTTGGCTGCGTTGGGTCTTCGTTGGGCTTTCTGTAGTTGCGGCAAAGGTGGGGGCTACTCTTCGTTGCGGTGTGCGGGCTTCTCATTGCAGTGACTCCTCTTGTGGAGCATGAGCTCTAGGCACACGGGCTTCAGTAGTTGTGGCTCATGGGCTCTAGAGCACAGGCTCAGTAGTTGTGGCACATGGGCTTAGTTACTCCAAGGCATGTGGGATCTTCCCGGACCAGGGCTCGAACCCATGTCCCCTGCATTGGTAGGCGGATTCTTAACCAGTGCGCCACCAGGGAAGTCCCCTTACTATAGTATTTCATTGTTTTTGTTTTACTTGTTCTGAGTTTTCTTCTCAGATTAAGGCAATTAAACCAAAACTTACTAAGAGGGGGTGGGTGGGATATTTTATTATTGATCACACGTTCAAATTTTGGACAATATTTTTTTGCTTTAAATCTCTTTCAAATACACCTTTTCCCTCTTCTAACTTACTGATTTACTTTGACATTTCATTCAAACAACAAAGAACTTAAACCTTTTAATAAATACTTATATGTGGTAGAGATTTGGTTGTAATTTATTGAGTTTTGAAGTCTGAGTCTGTGTTATACTGAAAGTGCTGTGTTTTTATTGTTTCTCCCATCTGAGTCATATATATCCTTGCCATTAATTTGTCTGAACTCTTAAAGCATCCTGAGATTTTTTTTTACATCTCGAGAGAGAGAGAGAGATGTTCTCTTATTAAGATAATCTCTTGAAAATGAACATCAAACTACAATGAGATATCACCTCACACCAGTCAGGATGGCCATCATCAAAATATCTACAAACAGGGGCTTCCCTGGTGGCGCAGTGGTTGAGGGTCCGCCTGCCGATGCAGGGGACACGGGTTCGTGCCCTGGTCCGGGAGGATCCCACATGCTGCGGAGCGGCTGGGCCCGTGAGCTGTGGCTGCTGGGCCTGTGCATCCGGAGCCTGTGCTCCACAATGGGAGAGGCCACAACGGTGAGAGGCCCGCGTACCGCAAAAAAAGAAAAAAATTTACAAACAGTAAATGCTGGAGAGGGTGTGGAGAAAAGGGAACCCTCTTGCACTGTTGGTGGGAATGTAAATTGGTACAACCACTATGGAGAACAGTATGGAGGTTTCTTAAAAAACTAAAAATAGAACTACCATACAACCCAGTAATCCCACTACTGGGCATATACCCTGAGAAAACCACAATTCAAAAAGAGTCATATACCACAGTGTTCATTGCAGCTCTATTTACAATAGCCAGGACATGGAAGCAAACTAAGTGTCCATCGACAGGTGAATGGATAAAGAATATGTGGTATATATATATACAATGGCATATTACTCAGCCATAAAAAGAAACGAAATTGAGTTATTTGTAGTGAAGTAGATGGAAATAGAGTCTGTCATATAGAGTGAAGTAAGTCAGAAAGAGGAAAACAAATACCGTATGCTAACACATATATTAGGAATCAAAAAAAAATGGTTCTGAAGAACCTAGGGGCAGGACAGGAATGAAGATGCAGACGTAGAGAATGGACTTGAGGACATGCGGAGGGGGAAGGGGAAGCTGGGACAAAGTGAGAGAGTGGCGTGGACATATATACACTACCAAATGTAAAATAGATAGCTAGTGGGAAGCAGCCACATAGCTCAGGGAGATCAGCTCGGTGCTTTGTGACCACCTAGAGGGGTGGGATAGGGAGGGTGGGAGGGAGACGCAAGAGGGAGGAGATATGGGGATATATGTATATGTAGAGCTGATTCGCTTTTTTATAAAGCGGAAACTAACACACCATTGTAAAGCAATTATACTCCATTAAAGATGTTTAAGAAAAAATGAACATCAGTCTTTTTCATCCTGTGTCACTTGGACCTTATGAAACTGCTAAGAAAGCAAAAGGTGGACAGTAGACAGTAATTCAAAGAAGGCTTTTGGCTCTTGAACTAAGACAGTGGGTAAAATTTCCACATATTATGAGACTGACAAAAATATTGTTAAAATTAAGAAATTTGATTATTAAATATCCATTAAAATAATAAATCAGATTAAAGTAATCAGTAATATAATAATCTGAAGGCTTTTGACATTAACCAGAATATATTAAATGCTTAAAGTTTCAGTTCTGATGACAGGAACTTAAATTTTCCTTTATAAAATTCCATTATTGTTAATGCCAAACTATTGTAAAAATAATACGTTTATTCAAGAGAACTGAGTATAACATAATTCTAATAGTAGCTAACTTTAGGTAGAGTTTGTTATATTTTGATGTTCAACATAAATTTGTTTATTCCTCATAACAATCATATGAGGCAAGTACTGTTATTTTTCCTATTTCGTAGATGAGAAAACTGAGCACAGAGAAATGAAGGGACTTTTAAAAGGCCACACAATACTTGAACCCAGTCAGTCAGGCCTTAGAGTCTGTGCCCTTAACCTCTCTTCAGTATTGCTTGTCACTGAGTGGTTAAGAACTTGGGGTTTGGAGTAACAAAGACGTGGGCTTAAATCATGGCTGCAACTTATATTCTTGGGACAAGAGCATGTCTCTTTACCTCTCTGAGCCTCAGTATTCTTGTTTATAAAATGAGGGTTGTTTGGAGGATAAAATGAGGTAATGTATGTTAACTGTTTAGCAGACACTCAGCTTGTTCAATAGATGGTAAGTATTATTGTGACAAATACTAATAAGTAAAATGAAAAAAGTCACAGACGGAAGACTTTGTTAGCATTTTGAGGTGTATCCTCCCAGTCTTTTAAACATGTGTTTTTTATTTTATTAATATATTTTCTTCTGTTCATGCTATTTTTTTCCCTTGTATAACTTTTTTTGGTTTATGTTTCACATTCAAGGAAAGAAGGCTTGAATTTGTCTGTATCACTTAGCAATAAGACAAGCCTGTTTCAGCTTCTGTGGTGGCCAAAACTTTTTCTCTCCCTATGTGTAGGAGTAGGTAAGTGGAGATAGAAGAGGACACGGAAGTACATATACCTTTTTTTTAAACAAAAAAAATGTTTGAATTAAAATTTCTAATATGATGTCTACAAATCAGTAAAACGTAGGACCCTAGAAGTAGGCAGGAGAATACTTGCTAGTATCAATTTTATCAAAAATGACAATGAGATCCTAATTTCAAAATATTTAGAGTTGTTAACTGAAAACAGTATACCTGAATGAACAGTCTTAATGAACATAGACTATTTCTTCTTGATGAGTGAGATAGATAGAAGTCTGACCATGTATTGCATTGTTAAATAAATTAACTGGGTGAATTTATTTAGCAGTACCTAAGCTAATCCCCCTTTCTATAGCCTCAGCAACAAAACATGGCTAATACTCTTTTTTTCCCCCTTTTTTCCTCCCTTTTAGGTCTACACACAATGAGCTGGAAAAGAATCGGTGAGTCAGTGATGAGGTGCAGCTTTCATATATGTTAAAAAGCAAACTCAATATTTGACCTGTGAAAATATATTGCATATGTAGTTATAACTTTTTTACATGTGTAACATATCATGGTTCTGATATATGTGTATTCTCTCCAAAAAGTAGTCCGCTTACGCTATCTAAACTGGAAGACATAAATATACTCTTAAGTTTATTTGAATTTTGAGTTTATGTTGAGCGTTCTTTATTTCTGTCTCAACGGGTTAATTTTGATAGGTTCATGGCTTAAATATGGTCTTGCTAAAGGATTAGGTTTCTGTAATGGAGCTAATAACTATTATGGGAAATTGTAGGATATTGAATTTCTCTTTCTTTGCAGTTCATTCATTCATTCATTCATGCATTCAACAAATCTTTAGCTTGCACCATCTATATGTCAGTGCCAGGCAGGCGTAATGCTTTACATAGTAAATACAAGAATGTGTAAGGCAGTTTCTGACCTTAAGGGATTTATAGCTTCCTGGGAGAGAAAGATAAGTAATTAAAATACTGTATAGTGTGGTAAGTATGATGATACTGTATAGTGTGGTAAGTATGATGATGGAGAAGCAGAGGATGCTGAAAGATCATTTTTGAAGGTCACCTGATTCTCTCTTGAGGGAGTCTTAGAAGACTTTCCAGAGGATAGTGAGCACTGTTTGTTGAGGAGACTGCAAGAGGTTCAGTATGAGTATAAAAGATGGTAGCATGAGGCAAGCCAGGCCAGATGTTGACAATTATGCTGAAGAGTTTGGACTTTTTCTGAGAGCAGTAAGCAGTTGAATGATTTTAAAGTGGGTTGTCATATGATCATATTTGGGTTTTGGAAAGATCACTTTGGCTACAGTATAAAGAATTGGCTGATTGGCAGAAGGGATCTCAGAGACAAGAAAACTCTTTGGAGGCCATTGGAAGCCTCCAAGGTAAGAGATGATGGTAGCCATTGGAGATAGAAGTAGACAGAATAAAGAAATAGTATGGAATATAATCAATAGAAATTGGTGACTAGTTGGCTATGGAAGGTTAAGTTTTAGATTGTATTATCATTTACTAAAAAAAGGAATGTAGGAAGAGGACAAGTTTGGGGGAGAAGATGAGGATTGAATGACTAAATATTCTCTTTTTGGTACGGAGGTTAAAGTAATAAGCAACAAACTGGAATTGTTTATATTAGCCGTTTTTTAAATTATATAAATTTCAGATGTACAGCACTGTAATTCGACATCTGTATGCACTAAAAAGTGACCACCATACAGTTGACCACCTTCATCCATTGCACCCTGCCCCACAACCTCCTTCCCCTCTGGTAACCAGTAATCTGTTCTCTGTATCTATAGGTTTGTTTGTTTTTGTTTTGTTTTGTTTTTTTAGATTCCACGGACAAGTGAAATCATAGGTATTTGTCTTTCTCTGTTTGGCTTATTTCACTTAGCATATACCTTCAAGGTCCATTCATGTTGTCACCAATGGCAGAATTTCATTCTTTTTTATGGCTGAGTAGGATTCCCTTGTGTGCATGTATGTGTGTGTGTGTGTGTGTATACACACACACATGCCACATCATCCATTAATCCATTGATAGACACTTAGGTTATTTCCATATCTTTACTACTGTAGATAATGCTGCAATGAACATAGGGGTGCATATATCTTTTCAAATCACTGTTTTCCTGTTCTTTGGATAAATACCCAGAAGTAGAATAGCTGGATGTACCACCCATTTTTGACATACAAGATCTCCATGACCTTCAACTTTTTGTCCTGCCCTTTTTTAAATAGCAGGGCCCTTACATATTGACTAACCTAACTGCCTCACTGCAGATGAATTTAAATGTCAAATCCTCTTGAAGAGGCTTAGCATTTTCCTCCAGGCTGACTTAGTGGCTTTTACCACTTTATTTGCACAATGCTCTGTTCACATCTCCTACTGTAAAACTTAATCAGGTAGTCTTATAATTATCTGTTTATATGTCTCTTTCTGCCAAATGACTATGACTACCTCAAAGGTAGGGATTCTGTTTTGTTCAGTTTTGTATTCTTGGTGTCTAGCATTTGATGCATGTATAGTAGATGGTAGCTTTAATACTGAATGAAGGATAAAACTGGAGCAAAGTTCAGTGGTCTAGTCAAAAATGTTTTGCTAGTTTGAGGCAAAGCAGTTTGGCAGGAAATGTTTTAAAGAGTCTTTTCTGTCTTATATTTCTAGTATATTAAAGGAAGTATCCGGCTAGTTTAAACATGGCAAAAGGACTAAGAAATAACAGCTTTGAAGATACTAAAAATAAAACCTTCTCTTGACCTTTAGAGCACAGAGTGTATTTTTGGGCCATATGTTTTAAATACTGGTAAACATGTGGCTTTTATAATTATTTCACCCACATGAATGTGGCCCTTGAGAGACCCTCATTGGAAATCTAGCAAAAACCTTTGTTTAACACGAGAGTAAAGAGACTGTTTAGTAAAGTATTTGGAATTGAGCTTTTAAAACCTTTGAGTAAACTTCATTCAATGCATTCTGTATATCAGTTCTGACTTATTGATAACCTTATCACCCATAGTATTACTTTGATATGCCCTGTAACTTGTTTAATCTCATATTTGTCTATAGCACTGGAGTAGCATGTGTGGCTTTTATCACCTGGACTGTACCTGATCTCTGCTCTCTCCAGTGAAGGCTTTTTGTTCCCATTTTATTTACTTACGTCTAAGACTTTCTGGCTGGTTTCCTACCCTACCTCTCTTAAGGCATGGTTCAGTTATCCTTTTCTGTCCTCTTCTGATAGTCCTAGATGTCTGTATTTCTCAAATTATGTCTTCTCCTCTCTCCCGTCTTCCCTCTTGTTCTTTCGTCCTCCCTCCCTCTCTTCTTTGAGGTTGAAAGGTAATATAGAATTAACCTTTCCAAGATATATTTGTTTTTAAAAGGGATATTTATCAATATAAATAAATTTCTAATTTAGTGGAATGTGTCAGAGGATGAGTGTTAAAGGAAGAATACAATTGAATAACCTATACTCCACTTCTGAAAAGTGGATCTAACAAGAAAACAAATATTGGTAGACACAGGATGATTTAAAGGGAGGGGTGGGGGGATGTTTTAGCCAAAGAGCAGGAAAGCAGCACAAGAATATTTTTAATATTTAAGCCTGTATTGCTATTACACTTTTTAGGCCCCCACCCAGTTCTATTTAATGATCCTTTTTTCTAAGGCACTGTTTTTATTTGACATATTAAATAAAAAGTTAACATAGATTTGGCATCCTTTAAAATAAATAGAATTTTGGCTTTACCTTTCATTTGCTTTTGAGTGTGAGCTTATATGAGGAAAGTAATTCACTGTCAAAAGAGTGATTTGACTTTGTTTTCATTCTGAAAACATATCCCTGAAGCAAGTCATATTTTTGAAATTTTGCTGCTCTACATACAATATGTTCATATCAAAAGTTTTTTTAAAAAGCTTAGTTCTAAAATCTTGCATATAAAGCTACTCCAAGTTAGTGGGGTTTTTTTACTGGGGCAATGCAGTGAGAATTAGAGTAGATGATTTTAAATTGTTAGTGAAAGACAGAGTAATTCCAGATGGCTATCATTTTTTTTTAATTTATCTATTTATTTATTTACTTTTGGCTGAGGTGGGTCTTTGTTGCTGCTTGCGGGCTTTCTCTAGTTGCAGCGAGCGGGGGCTACTGTTCATTGCGGTGCGCGGGCTTTTCATTGTGGTGACTTCTCTTTGTTGCGGAGCACGGCCTCTAGGCACACGGTAGTTGTGGTACTTCAGTAGTTGTGGCTTCAGTAGTGGTACTTCAGTAGTTGTGACTCTCTGGCTCAGTAGTTGTGGCTCGTGGGCTCTAGAGCGCAGGCTCAGTAGTTGTGGCACACAGGCCCAGTTGCTTGTGGCATGTGAAATCTTCCTGGACCAGGGCTCGAACCCGTGTCCCCTGCATTGGCAGGCAGATTCTTAACCACTGTGCCACCAGAGAAGTCCCCAGATGGCTATCTTAAACAGAGCCCTAAGATTGTTGAAGCCCTGGGTCTGGCCTTGAGGAGACAATAGCCAACAAATGTTGAGGTTCGTACTCCCAGATTTCAGAGGGTCTGGCGAGTACAGAGTAGTTTGCTCTGGCCCACAATTACCCCAAGATGCCTATAGCCCATTAGGGAGCTTTTAGGTAGTTTCAGACCTGATAAGGAAATTCAGATTCTTTCTTGGATAGGTTCTGGGTTTCTTTTTCTGCCTAAAACCTTGATGGTTACACTGAGCCTGGTCTAGGTGGTACAGAACATTTGTTACCTGTGTATTCACCCTGTCCCTCTAGACGTACAATAGGTCGTAACAGGCTCAGGAGGTAGAAGTAAAGGGAAGTAGAATACCTTTAGCTGTTCTGCATTCCTCAGGAGCCTATGTGAATCATATCATGGTAAAATTAATTTTATTCCTGAGTCTTTGAGATTTGAAAATCAAGAATTTACATTGCCCCATTGGCTTATCTTATAAGTTGGGTCCTTTGCCAGAGAAGAAACCATTCAGTACAGATTTTAGATCACTTCATTGCTTTTTCATTTTCTTAATTCAGATTACTGAAGATGTTTTTGAAAGAGTCAACAACTTTAATAGGACTTTAATGATCAAGAACCTTAGTGCTGACAGCAGGAGAGGCCCTTTAACCTTAATAGTTGTCATTCCATTGAAACAAAAGGCTTACTCTTATCCCCACTTTGGCAAAGCTAAAAGGACCATATGAGGACACTGGACTTACAATGCCTTCCTAGGCAGAGCAGAAGTACCCCGAGTATTTGTGATAAAAGAGAACATGCCCAGTGAATGGTAATCGGTGTCCTCCATATAGAGATTTTCTTATACCTCTGAAGGAATGGTGAAAATGAGCATTTATTGAGTACTTACTGTGTCCTCCCACTATGCAAAACCATTGTTTAATCCTGTAAGGTAGGAAGGCAGAAAGTATAGATCAAAGTGT